TTTTTAGTAGAGACGGGGTTTCACCACGTTGACCAGGATGGTCTCGATCTCTTGACCTCGTGATCCACCTGCCTTGGCCTCCCAAAGTGCTGGGATTATAGGCGTGAGCCACCACGCCTGGCCATCTTTATTTTTATTTATTTTTTTTGAGATGGAGTCTCGCTCTGTCACCTATACTGGAGTGCAGTGGCACGATCTTGGCTACATGGAACCTCTACCTCCTAGGTTCCAGCGATTCTCCTGCCTCAGCCTTCCGAGTAGCTGGGACTACAGGCACACACCACCAAACCTGGCTAATCTTTTTTTGTGTTTTTAGTAGAGACTGAGTTTCACTCTGTTGGTCAGGCTGGTCTCAAACTTCTGACCTCAAATGATCAGCCAGCCTTGGCCTCCCAAAGTGCTGGGATTACGGACATGAGCCACCGTGCTTGGCTACCAGCTATCTTTTTAATGCCTTCTTAAATAATAGTGTAAGCACTTTGAGGGTGAGTACCAGGCTATTTGCATTTTCAATATCCCTTTGCTGCACAGAGATGGGCACACAGAAGTAGCTTGTTATAGGCTCACAGGCCACAATAAACCAATTGTCTCAGACACATGATGAAGAGGAGCAGGCATGGCGGCTCACACCTGTAATCCCAGCACTTTGGGAGGCCGAAGTGGGTGGATTCCTTGAGCCCAGGAGTTCAAGACCAATTTGGGCAACATGGCAAAACCTTGCCTCTCTTAAAAATATAAAGATTAGCCAGGCATGGTGGTGGGTGCCTGTTGTCCTAGCTACTCAGGAGGCTGAGGTGGGAGGATTGATGCTCTGGAGGTCGAGGGTGCAGTGAGCTGAGATTGCACCACTGCACTTCAGCCTGGGAGACAGAGACTGGGTCTCAAAAAAAAACAAAAAGAGTTCGAAACTCAGATGATTGTCTTAGTCCTGCAGTTTCTGGGATGTATTCATGCTTATCCTAAAGACTTTCATCCTAGGACGAGCACAGTGGCTCATGCCTGTAATCCCAGCCCTTTGGGAGGCAGAGGCGGGCGGATCACCTAAGATCAGGAGTTCGAGACCAACCTGGCAAACATGATGAAATCTTTTCTCTAAGAATAGAAAAAATTAGCTGAGTGTGGTGGCGGTTGCCTGTAGTCCCAGCTACTTGGGAGGCTGAGACAGGAGAATCACTCGAACCTGGGAGGCGGAGGTTGCAGTGAGCCGAGACTGCACCACTGCACTCCAACCTGGGTGAGACAGTGAGACCCTATCTCAAAAAAAAAAAAAAAAAAAAGGCTTTTGTCCCAAAGTACTCCAACACTACCAGCACTATATGGTGTAATGTTATTCCTTCATTTCCCCGTTTTTCTGTGGTCTCTCTGGCTTGGGTGCAGCCACGGGCACTGGAAAGATAAGTTGAAGATAATAAATGACATTCCTGTTCCCTTACTGTGATGCCCAGCAGCATAAAGCCCAGTTTAGAGCAACATGGAATTACTCTACTCTTAAGACCTCATTACGCGGGGAAGGCGAGGGAAGGTGGAAGGCAGACCGCTCACAAATTCCTGGCGGGGGGGATGACCTCATCCTTTATTAGGTGTTGGCCAACTGCCCAAGAGGCACAGTTCAGATTCCTTTTGGGGGAGGCACTGAAAATCCCCTGATAACCCAAATTCTCCAAATCTTTTAGCCGTCGAGGGAGGGAAGGAGGGCGAGAGGAAGGAATCGATTCCATTAAGTGGCTGTTTCCTCCTGGATGACCAGCCTTGAGTTTAAGACAGAGACTCGGGACTTAGGAAGCCTGGATATTCCATTGATTGATTGATTGATTGAGATGGACTCTTTCTCTGGAGTACAGCGGCGTGATCTCAGCTCACTGCAATCTCCGCCTCCCAGGTCTAAGTGACTCTGGTCCCACCTGTGCCTCAGCCTTCTGAGTAGTTGGGATTACAGGTGCCAGCCACCATGCCCAGACAATTTTTGTATTTTTAGTAGGGATGCTCACTGCAACCTCCGCCTCCCAGGTCCAAGTGACTCTCCTGCCTCAGCTTTTTGAGTAGCTGGGATTACAGGCATCTGCCACCATGCCCAGCCAATTTTTGTATTTTTAGTAGGGATGGGGTTTCACCATGTTCAGCAGGCTGGTCTCGAACTCCTGACCTCAAGTGATCTGCCCACCTCGGCCTCCCAAAGTGCTGGGCTTACAGGTGTGAGCCACTGCGCCCCGCATGGACATCCCATTTAAAAAGTTGAAGTGGGGCTGGGTGCAGTGGCTTATGACTGTAATCCCGGCACTTTAGAAAGCTAAGGCAGGCAGATCACTTGAGCCCAGGAGTTTGAGAGTAGCCTGGGCAACATGGCAAAACCTTGTTTCTACAAAAATTACAAAAATTAGGTGTGGTGGCACGTGCCTGTAATCCTAGCTACCTGGGAGGCTGAGGTGGGAGAATCACCTGAACCAGGGAAGTCAAGGCTGCAGTGAGCTGAGATTGCACCACTACATTCCAGCCTGGGCAACAGAATGAGACCATCTCAAAAAAAAAAAAAAAAAAGTGGGCCAGGTGTGGTGGCTCACGCCTGTAATCCAAGCACTTTGGAGGCCAAGGCGGGCAGATCACCAGAGGTTGGGAGTTCAAGACCAGCCTGACCAACATGGTGAAACGCCGTCTTAAAAAAAATAAATAAATAAAGTAGGACTCCAGAGAATTGGATGAGTGAATAGCATGCATCATTTACGGGAGAGAGTGAAGGGAATTGGATACATATAATGTCTTGAGGTGCATACGCAAGAGGGTACATGTGTGATATATACATATGAGTATACATTGAGTTATGTAAATAAGAGGTCACGAGAGCTGGCTGTTCCCACTACGTTTTCAACAGCATCTTCTTGTTTTCTTCTGACAACAATCCTACAACCCTTCTTTTGGGCGGGGGGGAGGAGGACAGGCGCACCATGTAACCCAGGCTGAAGCGCCGTGGCACCATCATGGCTCACTGCAGCCTTGAACTCTTAGGCTCAAGCAATCCTCCTGCCTCAGCCTCCTGAGTAGCTGGGACTACAGGCACATGCCCCCACACTAATTTTATTAGGTCTTTTTTGTTTTGTTTTCAAGACAGAGTCTCGCTCTGTCGCTCAGGCTGGAGTGCAGTGGCATGATCTCTGCCCACTGCAACCTCCGCCTCCTGGGTTCAGGTGATTCTCCTGCCTCAGCCTCCTGAGTAGTTGGGATTACAAGGGCGTGCCACTTCGCCCAGCTAATTTTTTCTAGTTTTTAGTAGAGACGGGTTTCACCATGTTGGCCAGACTGGTCTTGAACTCCTGACCTCAGGCAATCTGCCTGCCTCACCTCCCAAAATGCTGGGGTTACAGGTGTGAGCCACTGTGCCGGGCCTCCAAAGCATTAGCATTACAGAAGTGAGCCACCGCCACCGGCCTCTACAGTCCTTTTGCAAAATGTGCTGCAGTTCACTAAGCACTCCATATTTGATGGCTTCTCTCCATCCTATAGACATTTTACAGACAGGAGTTCACTGGTTGCAGGGGTAGAGCAAGCCTCAGGGCATCTGCACCCTTAGGATGCTTTTGGGAGAGTTAGAAAAAAAGCTCCCAGGCCGGGCTCGGTGGCTCATGCCTGTAATCCCAGCACTTTGGGAGGCCAATGCAGGCTGATCACCTGAGGTCATGAGTTTGAGAACAGCCTGGCCACCATGGTGAAACCCCGTCTCTACTAAAAATACAAAAATTAGCCAGGTATGTTATTGCTTGCCTGTAATCCCAGCTATTTAGGAGGCTGAGGCAGGAGAATCACTCGAATTTAGCAGGCAGAGGTTGCAGTGAGCTGAGATCACGCCACTGCACTCCAGCCTGGGCGACAGAGCCAGACTCTGTCTTGTAAAAAAAGAAAGAAAGAAAGGAAAAAAGCTCCCAACTCGGGCAAGTAGAGTGTGGGCTGGATTTCTGCTCCCACCTGTGCCTGGGGCAGGGTCCAAGCACTATGGGAATCCTGCAACCTAGAAAAGACCGACCTATGGCCAGGCTGGCCTTGGGCCCATCGTAGGAGCTGGGACTCTGTTTCTCCATTTATAAAAGGTGGGATTGTCTTACATCTTCCTGAAGCCCTTTTCCGGATAGGATGTCTTATGAAGCTGTGATTCTAGCTGCAACTTTTTTCTTTTATTGAGACGGAGACTCTGTCATCCAGGCTGGAGGGCAGTGGCATGATCTCAGGTCACTGCAACCTCCGCCTCCTGAGTTCAAGCCGTTCTCCTGCCTGAGCCCAGCCTGTAGTTGAAGTGAGGCGCCCCCAGCACACCAAGCTAATTTTTGCATTTTTACTAGAGATGGGGTTTTACCATGTTGGACAGGCTGGTCTCGAACTCCTGACCTCAGGTGATCGGCCTCCCTAGGCCTCCCAAATCTAGCTACAACTTCTCATCCCAACTGACCCTTCCTCCTTTCCCAAAGCTTCTTACCTGGAAGAGCCAGCGGGGCAGGTGGGGGCTGGAGGTGAAACGGGAAGAAGATTCCTGGGAAGCCCTGGCCGGTGTCTCAGGGGCACGCAGTACTTTGATCCAAAGAGCCCTGCACAAGGAAGGCAAGACGCGCATTTGTCTGGCTTAACTTTCTTGAGCTTCAGTTTCTATTTTTGAATGGGACCACCGAGGGTAGTGTGGCGGGGATTCACCAACATCGTCCAGGTGAAATTGTCAGTGGCAGAATGGGCACTCCAAACCGTTTGTGGACCCCAAGAAGGTTTGGTTGCAAAGTTTCCGTGTATCGGGTGCCCGGATGCGAGGTCTGGCTTTCGGGGTGCCAGGCTCCGGGGATCCCCAACGGAGCTCGCACCCTAGCTCTGCCACCACTGCCGCCTCCTCGGCCCCGGACCGCCGAGGGTTAACCAGAAAGCCCCACGCCCCCTTTGACGGCGCAGAGCCCACCTCGCCGAATTTGAAAAGGCGGCCCCGGAGAGGCGTGGGCGCCCCCCACACTCTTCCAGCTTGCACCCGGGCTCCGATTGCTCGCCTGGCTCCTCTCGCTCCGCTCCCGGCCGGGGCCGCGGGTTCGGTCTGGGCGCCGGTGCGCTCCTGCCGGTCCTGGTGCCCGGGACTCCGAGTCCCCGCGGGCGGCCGCGCACCATGAAGCTGGCCCTACTCCTGCCCTGGGCGTGCTGCTGCCTCTGCGGGTCGGCGCTGGCCACCGGCTTCCTCTACCCCTTCCCGGCCGCAGCCCTGCAGCAGCACGGCTACCCCGAGCCGGGCGCAGGCTCCCCCGGCAGCGGCTACGCGAGCCGCCGGTGAGTAGCGCGGGGCAGCGGGGCCTGGGGGGCGCGGACGGCGGGGGCCCTGGGCACGGGAAGGGGGGCTGGAGCGAGAGACGCGGGGGCTGGAGCGAGGGGCTTAGTGGGGGCACGGGGCAGCGGGGACTGGGGACTGTAGACACCGCGCAGCTGGAGCTAGAGCTGGAGGGGGTTGGGGTGCGGAGCGATCCGGGCCTGGGGGCGCGGGGTGGCGGAGGCCAGGGGCTGGGGACACGGTGCAGCTGGGACGAAACGGCGGGGGCTGAGGGTTGGGGCACTCGGGGAGAGACCGCAGGGCCTGGGGTGCCGAGCGATTGGGGTCTAGAGGCGCGGGGCGGCGGGGGCTGGGGGCTGAAGACCGGGGGCGGCTGGAACGAGCGACGCGGGGCTGGGGGTTGAGGTCACATGGTCGCGGGGGCTGGGGGCTGAGGGTTCGGGTCCAGGTCCGGGTGCGGAGCTGCGGTGGTCTCTGGCTGCGCCCACCCTGTTTCTTCCTTTCTTCCCTTCCCCAACCTTCGCCTCCTCGTTTCGGGCTCCGAGTGGAGATGGCTCCGACCACGGTGGCCGGGGCTGGGGCTCTGCCCGGGGCGTTCGTCAGCTCACGTGGCTCCGCCGCTCACCTGCGCGGCTGCTGCTTTGTGCCGCCGAGCAGGTTCCGGGGTGGCCAAGGCCGCGCATCCCGGGCGCCCCCTCTCCTACCGGCGGCCCCGGGACACGGGAGGGGTCATTCCCGCCCAGTCTTTGGGGCTGAGGCCGCGGAGGATCCTCGGTTGCGACTCTCGGCCAACATGGACGTGGAACCGGCTGGGATCGGGTGGCTCCGTTGCGGGGTTGGAGGGGGTGCAGGGTCACCGGGCCCGGGCACAGGGTCACCAGGCCCGGGCGCCGGGACCCGCCGGGCGTCTCTTCCCTCTCGGCCGGCAGGTGGCGCCATGACCGCCCCCGGGATGCTCAGGGCTGCGGCTCCGGAGCCCGCATTTGAATTCGATCAGAAAACCGTAAGCATGCAAGTAAAAGTTGCCAGACGCCTCGTTTGCATAAATCACTTGAATTTAGCTTTTCCCCATTTAGCGATAACTACAACCCACACAGCTATGACAGCGCTTTGGAATGCACTACCTGTGTCTGTTCCCTCCATCTCTTTTTGCATTTTACTTCATTTTTTGCAGGGACAGAATCTGTCGCTCAGGCTTGTCGCAAACTCCTGGGCTCAAGCGATCCTCCCGCCTTGGCCTCCCAATCTCCATTTCTTTTGATCCTTAACAACTCGAGGGTTAAAACATTAGAGTAGTATCTTTCCTTTAGCTGAGGAAACTGAGGCACAGAGAGGCTTTGCTAGGCTCAGTGGCCACTCAGAACTGACCTCTTCTGCTTTTTTGTAAGGTAGGGTCATGCTTGCTCCCCAGGCTGCAGTACAATGGTACAATCATAACTCACTGCAGACCTGATCTCCCAGGCTCAAACGATCCCCACCTCGGCCTCCTGAGTAGCTGAGACCACAGGCGCGCACCACCATGACTGGCGAATTTTTTATTTTTTGTAGAGATGGAATCTCACTATGTTGCACATGCTGGTCTCTAACTTCTGGCCTCAAGAGATCCTCCCGCCTTGGCCTCCCAAAGTGCTGGGATTACAGGCAGGAGCCACCGCGCCCGGCCCAGAGCTGATGATTTCTGGAATAATGCTCTGCTTATCAAAGCTAAAAAATCCCAGTTCTTTTTTTTCTCCTTGATATTTCCAAATCAGAGGACTCCAAGATGATTTCTGGCTAATGCCTTAACAACAGGGAGAAAGGGGTGTTTCATGCTGGGAAGAACCATACACTCATGGCTGGATGAGGCTGGACCCAGAAAAGCAGGAAAGTGCCTCTGGAAAAGTTTGCATGCAATTCTATTTCTTTCATTTTGTTTGGAAATACTGACCCGAGGCTTCTATGAGGAGTATTCTCCAAACACCCACACTGGTGTGGCCTCTGCACAGTTCCATATGAGGATTGTCTAAAAAACAAGCTTTTCAACTTGCAGAATAATATATACAGCATGATTTTATTTATGAAAAAGAAAATCAGATCTACATCTAGGTAGACAAATGCACAGAAAAAAGTTTCTAGGAAACCATTTCAGCAGTTAACGATATGAAGAAGCCTCAGGCTGGGCCAGGGGACTGTCCCATTTTCCCTCCGTCTGCTTGTGGCTTGTCTGAATGTTTTTCTGGTTTTTGTGGGTTTTTTGGAGACAGAGCCTTGCTCTGTTGCCCAGGCTGGAGTGTAGTGGTACAACCTTGGCTCACTGCAACCTCTGCCTCCTGGGTTCAAGTGATTCTCCTGCCTCAGCCTCCTGAGTACCTGGGACTACAGGTATGTGTCACCACATTCATTTAATTTTTGTATTTTTTAGCATAGATGGGGTTTCACCACGTTAGCCAGTTGGCCTCCATCTCTTGACCTCGTGATCCGCTTGCCTCAGCCTCCCAAAGTGCTGGGATTACAGGCGTGAGCCACCGTGCTCAACTAAATTACTATCTTTCTTTCTTTTTTTTTTTTTTCTGAGACCGAGTATTGCTTTGTTGCCCAGGCTGGAGTGCAGTGGTCCAATCTCAGCTCATTGCAGCCTCTGCCTCCTGGGTTCGAGCAATTCTGCCTCAGCCTCCCAAAGAGCTGGGATTATAGGCACCCGCCACACCTGGCTAATTTTTTTTTGTATTTTTAGTGGAGACGAGATTTCACTGTGTTAGCCAGGATGGTCTCCATCTCCTGACCTCATGATCCGCCC